GGTGGTGGTGATGATGCTGGTGGCACTGGTGGTGGTGGTGCTGGCAGTGGTGGTGGTGGTGATGATGAGGAAGAGGATGGTGATGATGGAGATGGCAGTGATTGTGATGATTTCTTATTGGTACATAATAATTGTACATATTTTGAAGGTATGTGTGATATTTTGATTCATGTATACAATGTATAATGATCAAATCAGGGTAACTGGGATATCAATTCCCTTGACCTTTATCTTTTCTTCATGTTGGAAATTTTCCAGTGCTTTTCTTCTGGCTATTTAAAAATGCACAATAAATTACAGTTGACTATAGTCACCCTATTTTACTATCAAACTCTAGAACTCATTCCTTCTAATCATGCCTTTTAACCAACCTCTCGAGGACTTTTACTGAGCGATCACAGCTCTCCCCTCTAGACAGAAGCACAACCCTGAAAGATGCGTTATCTCACCATCTTGGAATGAGAGGTGAACCCATCACTACCGCAGCCTGATGTCATTTACAATCCCCTGCCTCTGGGTTCTCCTCATGGATCCAGGATCTACGTTGAGATTTGGAGGCATAAGGGATGCAAACTCAGCATGCTGCGTGGAAAACATGTTTTCTCCTTTCTCACAAATTCTGACATTATCAACTTCAGGGGCCTGGAGGAAAACAAGATATAAATTATCTTCTTGAGTTGTGTGTGCCTGTGAGTGTAGAAGACTGTATGACTATCCAGGATCTACGTTGAGATTTGGAGGCATAAGGGATGCAAACTCAGCATGCTGCGTGGAAAACATGTTTTCTCCTTTCTCACAAATTCTGACATTATCAACTTCAGGGCCCTGGAGGAAAACAAGATATAAATTATCTTCTTGAGTTGTGTGTGCCTGTGAGTATAGAAGACTGTATGACTGTGCAGTGTTCCCTGTCCTCCTGTGTGGGGTCTGTACTTTCTCACTCTCTACCCAACATCAGCCTGGCTGTGTGACTTGCTTCGCCAATGAAATGTGAGTGGATGTGACACACGCCCCTTCCTAGCAGAAGTCGCAAGGGATACAGCATGGTTCTGCCGTGACTCCTTGCCCTGTGCCATGCTACTGGGATGTCCCAGGTAAGAGTGGCTCCTTCAGGTTGGGTCACAGGATGAAGACTGCTTTCAAATCCTGTCACTTTACTTTGCAATGCAAATCAATCTTCTTTCTCTTAGTCCCTCTCCATCTAAATAGAAGAGGCAAACCTATCAACACAGAGCATCCAGAAGAGCCTTGAGATGAGAGTTTTTCTCCACCCTGGGGCAGATCAAGTTCTTTGGCAGCCTCTTTCCATCTGCACTAGGAGGCTATCACTTCTCAGAGCAAGCCCAGGAATCCCCACTTCCTCTCTCTGATGCAGGAGTTACTTTAACAGGCAGTTCAGACCTGGCGTTTTCTCTTGCTGGCAGGTCCTGGGCTGCAGGACGACTGTCTTGTGCGTCATTTTGTTGGTAGGAGTGCAGCCTCTTGGAGCCCACCTCCGCCTGGAGGCTTGATCTCTGCCTTGCACTCAGCTGGGTCATACAGTGCAGCTGTGTGCAGCCTCGCCCAGGAAGCAACTCAAGTGCCACGGGCAGGAAACCCTAAATCTGCAGCACATAACCTTCCTGAGAAGGAAAAGTGACTTTGCATCACTCCCCCTTACCTGACAACTGTGAGCATCTTCATGCAGGTTTTATTGTGTGAGGGGAGCCAGGGAAGAGACTCCTGTGAATGCTTTCAAGAAACTTATAATAATTGTAATCAGCATTTTCCCTTCCATTTAAAATCACAAACGTAGCTACTTAATCAAATGTCATGGTTAAGACACATTTACCTCCTTGGGAGAAAAATGAACAATGGCAGCTCAATTTGGCTTCGGATGGGTTTTAAAAATAGTCAAGTCTGTGAAGGCCATTAGATAAATGGCCTCAGAGAGCTTCAAAGAGGACGTCCTGCGGGGGTCTGCTGACTCCTTTGTTGGAAAAATAGGGGAGGGGACTAGGTGAGGAGACCACAGGGTTCCAGGGTGTGGACTTCCCCGTGGGGAGGAGGGGCCAGAGTTAGCAGGGTGACCGGAAGGGATGACCACAGCATGGACACCTGAACAGCTCCCTTTTGTATCTGCTGAAGCTGGGAGGTGTGTGTGTGTGTGTGTGTGTTGGGTGGGAGTGACACACACACAACTTTCCTGTCCCCAAGGGAAGAAAAATGAACCCATCAGAAATATAAGCGCCATCAAAGTGTAAGAAACCAGTGCTGTAAATGGTGAAACACAAGTTAATGTTTTGTTTCACAGTATGTTCAATGATTTTGTCATTTAAATAATAACAGGTGGGCTGCTCTTTCCGGAGAGAGGTCAACGTGAGTTACTCTAGAGATAAAGGGAATCAGTGCGCCTCGGTTCTGAATCACAGTTTTGAGCCTGGATGGGGCAGAGGGCATCCTCCCTCCCCACGGGCTGGAGAGGCCCTCACCCACCGGGGGCATCGGCTGTGGTCTTCAGGCTCTGGCATCCTCTGGAGTCTTCTGCCGGGCCTGCTCCCATCTCAGTTTGCAGAAAACACTTCCTTCTACTATTTTCTTGGCCCAGGGAGTCCCAGGGTACTTGGACAGAATTCAACGGACCTTTCAACTTGGATGGGGAAAGCTGGCATCTTTATTTAACCCCAACTGAAACTTGGTGTTTCTTTTCATTATAAACGAAGGTGGCAGAACACGGTGCCTGTGACCGTCAGAGAAAGTGCGGGCATTTTCGTATCACATTGCGGCGGCTGCAGGCACCTCAGAATGTTATTATTGCTGCGTATCTGGGCATTGAAAGCAAGGCGATTTAGAATCTGTCAGTTGTTGCTTGCTAAGTGTATTAATGAAAAATACATCAGGCTACATCAGAAATGTGTTTTTATTCTTTTGATCATGCATTTGCATGGGATTGGTTTCCTAATAATCCCGGGCTTTTTCATCTGTGCACTTAGAAGGCATTCTGAGAGAGGTCAGCAGGTGTCCACAAGCCGCCCAGGGGGTTCCTGGCGCCGACGAGGTCCGGTCCGGAGCCCCTCCCTGCCCTGGCTCCTCGTCTGCGAAGCCGCCTCCTCCAGGCCCCTCGGGTTGCAGGAAGGGCCTCCCGGGTGCAGCACCGCCACGTCGTCCCGCTAGGTGGCAGCACTGCGAGCGCCTCCTTCCCTACCGGCCGCCCTATGCCCCGCCGGCTCCAGGACCTCCCAGTCTCCTTGGCCTCTTAATGGGACCCGCTCCCTCACACCCCTCAGGGAGACGCTCTAGGGGACGATGACCCCCGAGCGGCCCGGCAGGGAAAGTGCTGACTCACCCTGCTGCCTCTCTGGTCCGCGGACCGGCTCACAGATCACCATAGCCACACCGTGTGTGAGGCCTTCTCATGGAGCTCTGCAAACACCTCCCCCCGGGGAGGGGCAGTGGGACCCATCTTACAGAAGAAGAGACCGAGGGTCAGAGAGGCCAGACAACCAACTCGGCCAGGACCCTGAGTTAGCAAGCTCTGGCCCCTGGTCTACCCACGTCAAGGCTGGCCGTCCTGCCACCACACTGCCCTGCCTCCGGCCCTCTCCCGGGAGTCTTGGTGGGGAGCCACTGCCAACCTCTTGCCTAGGCAGAGGCCAGTCCTGTGCCTGGCTCCTCAAGGATGTTGGCAAAGGTCCTGGAGGTCTGGGGGGGTGAAAGGGCTGCCTGGGAGACTGAGCCCCAAGCCACGATCCTCCTCGGAGGCTGAGCCCCAAGCCACGTTCTTCCTGGGACACTGCGTTCCAAGCCATGGTCCTTCTGGGAGACTGAGCCCCAAGCCATAGTCCTTCTGGGACATTGCGCCCCAGCCATGGTCCTCCTGGGAGACTGAGCCCCAGCCATGGTCTTCCTGGGAGACTGCGCCCCAGCCATAGTCCACTTGGGAGGCTGCACCCCAGCCAGGGTCCGCCTGGCTCTGCCCCTCCACCTCCTCACTGGCTGCCCCTCCCAGGGAGGCCTCACCTGTGAGTGCTCCCCCCCCCCGCCCCCCTGCACCCCTACAGCTTTCCCATGGCCTGGGATGATTCCAGAGCTGACCTGGGTCAAGCCCCTGCACAGAGTGCAGAGCAGAGGTTCGGCTTAGTGTCCCCTGGCCCGCCCCTTGCACCTTCTTTCCCCCGTGAAGGGTGGCACCAGCATCCTTTCCAAGGCCCCTTTTCTGCACTGTCCTCAGCCTTCAGAGGATTAAAAAACAGGGCTCTGTTGTGGCTTCTCAAGGCGTCAGGGGTCTGCGGAGGATTCCGCCCAATGCCACTTCTCGGTCAAAGGCCCCCACCCAGTGTCTGTCCTCCTTAAAGTGCCCCACCCCCCGACTTTTGATTTTTTGGAAATACAGCCTAACCAGGTAGGCACAGAGGAGTCCTGGCCTGGGAGGAAGCAGGGAAACGCCGGTGGAGAGTCTGGGAGGCCCAGGTTCCCTGGAACTTTCCAGTGATTTGGAGCCAGGGCCTGGCCAGGCAGCTGCGCGGGGCGAGGAGGGACCGTGGGGTAATACGAGTGTAGGACCCGGCTGAGTTAGTGGCAGAAGCGCTGAAGCTATGACTGGGAACGCGGTGACTTCATCCACGCAGGAGCCCGCGCAGCGAGCAGAGTCCCTCGTAGGGGACCCTCGGACAGACGCTCCCGCGCGGCCCGCGTGGCGCAGCTCCGCCCTGGGAAACTTTTCGCGCAGCCCCCGTTCCTTGCGTCACACCCAGTTCATCCTCGGGGACGCCCCCTCCCCAAAGTAGCTCTCCCGGTCCACTGGGCGCTCCCGTAACCGGGTCGGAACCTCGGACTGCCTCGCATGCCATACGGTTACCCTGGCAACGCCATCCGGCGGCGCTCGGCGGTCCAATCGCAGCCTGCGGCCTCTCTGGAGCCTTTCGCGAGGTGGGGACCGGGACGCGACCGGGGATGGGGAAAGGGGCGGAAGGAGCCCCCGCCTGCGCAATCGCTCCCGCCGGGGACAGCCCCCTCCTCCCCCATCGGCGACCCGGCCACCGGGAGGTGGGGGCGGCGAGCAGGAGCTGGGGCCGGGCCGGGGGCTCGGGCTCCCGTTCGAGGGGCGGGGAAGGCGGGTGGTGACGTGAGCCGGGCCGGGCGGGCGGAGTTGGGACCAGCTCCGGGAGGCGGGGGCGAGCGCTCGGAGAAGCAGACGCTAGGAGGGAGGCGGCCAAGCAGCGCGGGCGGCTCTGCGGCGGGCGCGGTGGGCGCGGGCGGCGGGGCCCCGGGATCCCCGCCCGCCTCCTCCGCGCGGCGCCGCCGCCGCGCGTCCCCACGCCCCGCGCTCCACGGCGCCCTCGCCTCGCGCGCCTCCCGTGCCCGCCTCCTGCTAGCCTCCGGGCCGCGGCCGTCTGCAGAGCGAGCGCCCAGACGGAGCCCCCGGGCAACTTGAGTGGCGCCGATCCGCTGCAGAGCCCCCCGACCCGGCGGCGCGCGGAGGGGACCCGCGTCCGCCCGGCCCGCGTCACCCCAAACGCTAAGCAGCGCCGCCCCATCGGCGCGGAGCTCCGGCTGGAGGCAAGAGCCGCGCGCCGGGAGACACGCACCGTGCACGGCAACGCCGCCAGCCTCTCTCCTCGCCGCCCCGGAGGGCGAAGCCGCGGCTCCCCGGCCCCCAGCTGCGCGGTGACAGCGCCGGAACGCGCCCTGCCTCGCCGCCGCCTTCGCTGTGTCGCCCGCGGAGGGGGCCCCGAGCCCCGCGCCCGGTCCGGAGGATGTGCGCCCCCGCGGGCCGCCCAGCCTGAGCCATGCGCCCCAACGGCGGCGGCGCGCCGGCCGGCATGGAGCCCCGCGCGGCCGCGCTCTGACTAGCTGTGCGCCCCGCGGCCGGCGGGCGGCGGGAGGCGGCGGACAGAGAGCGGGAGACCCGCGCCGCGGGACGGAAGCGAGCGGGCGCGGGCGCCGCGCAGATGGCCCGGACGAGCCAGGTCTGAGGCCCCGCTCCCCGAAACGTGACCATGTGGATTCAACAGCTTTTAGGACTCAGGTGAGCGGCCCGGCCAGCGCGGTGTGTGCGGGCGCGTGGGTGCCGGGCTAGGCGGAAGCGGCGCTTGGCTCTGCGTTGCAAATCAAGGGACCCCTCTAGGCTCCCCGAAAGCGGGCAACTGGGTGCACCGGGAGCCAGATAGGGGCGCCAACCAGGAGCCCGGAGCCTGGGGCGCCGCGGCCCCTAGGGGAGCGGCCGGGTCTCCAGGGCTCCGCGCGTCCGGGGTCCGGGCAGCTGTGACCACCCCAGCAACCCGGGCAGTGGGGCCGGCCGGGCGCGCCCGCAGCTCCAGGCGCCAGCAGCGCAGTGTCCTGGCCGGCTGCCCCGGCGCGCCTCCTCCCGGGGACCCGGTGCGAGGCGCGGCGGGCGCGGGGGCGGGGGGCCGGGGCTGCCGGGAAAGCTAAAGCCCCAGACTCCCTGCGAGAGCTTCGCGAGCGGAGTTGAAGGAAACCAGAGCCCAACAGCCACTCCGCCCGCCCTTCTCCTTTCTCAGGGCCCCGAGACTGAGCAGGGGCCTCCCAGGCTCCCAGCTGCCCACCCAGCTGTTTGCAGGTGACCCCCGGGCCCGACGGGCGCCCACAGCACGGGGGCAGCTGGGGCTCTTCGGGCGTGCGGGCGGCCACCGTTCTCCAAACACACAAGCACACACGCCCGCCGGCGCGCCCGGGACTTGTCTATGTCTGGGACTCCAGGGCCAGATGGAACAGGGGGTTCGAGCCTAGAGCCCGTGGTGGGGGTGTCCAAAAAGACCCTTCTCGGCAAACTTTGCCAGCACGCGGGGGTTCTCGGGCTTCTCCAGGTTCTGCCTGGGGCGGCCCGGGGCCCACCGGAGCGCGGCTGTCCTTTTTTGCTGGGCAGGCTGCCTCTGAGCCCTCGCCCTCCTGCCGGGGCATCCACGGAGCTCGTGCATTTGGGTCCCGGGTTGGAACCGAGAGCGGGGAGGACGTAGATGGAGGCGGAGAGCAGCGTGCGGTTCTCGAGTTTGTCCGCTGGGATGCACTGCGCTCCCGCGTTGGGGACGAAAAGGCCAGCAGTTGTTGGAGCGGCTGCTGGAGCCGCCCCCACCCTGGGATAAAGCTGCGGGGGGAGTGAGGCGAAGGGAGGGAGGATCTAGTGCGTGTCCTGATTTTAAGAAATTGGAAGGGGACGGGGACGCCAAGTGTTTTCTAGTGACCCTTGATTTATGAGTCAGAGGTGAATACGGTGTAAAACATCTAGCGAACGTGGTCAGATATTATTAGCATCCCTTCTCGCGGTGGCCGATCTTACTGTGGACTTCAAAGATTCATCATGGAGCCGATTGTGTGGGGTGTTGGATACCGGCCAGGCCTGAATCCATAAATGTGCTTGAGCTAGGTAAGGTTTAGGCTTGGACCGTTCAGGGATGTCGGCGAAATGGAGCGAGGAGGACAGCTTTGCCGGAGTGACCCTGATCCAGGTGCCCTGCAGGCCTGCCGTCCCTGCTCTGCCCCGGACTGTCCCAGGTCTCAGCAAGACCTCCACGGCCTTGTGAAGGACCAGACGGGTCCCCCCCTTGGCCAGCGGCAGGTCTTTAGCTCCGACCTGCTTCTTGAGCTGCCATCTGCCAGTTCATTCCTGATCGCAACTTATTTGAACATTTTTTTAATTGCTAAGTTGCTAGAATAAAAGATGAGTACATTTTGATAAATGGAGAGGAGAGCAAATATCTTGAAAGAAACCTCTCTTTTGGTTTAAAATTTATTAAACAGTTCCTTTAAAGCATCCTCAAGCCCGGTCTTGGGATTTTCCTCTAGGAAATAGTCCTGTCGGTGTTTTTGAAGTCTGACCTTTGTTTTCCCCCCTGGATATTACCACAGGAGATTTTCTGTAAGTGTGCCTTTAAGGACCAGCTATCACCTATTTGGGATCTTGATGGGAGAGCTGGGTCTCCTTACTGCTACTGCTGCCTCCTGGCCTGAGAAGGAGGCCTGTGCCCAGAGGGTCTGGGCGGTTTTGCATCACAATGGGCACCTGGGGACTTGGAGCCAAAGGGTCCAGGTCTGGAAATGTGAATTTTTCTTTCAAGACAGCCCTCCACCTTTGCTTGCAAGCCACTCCACAGCTCCCCAGGTGATCACTGGGTGTCCTGATACCAAGCTTGGAGCCTGTTAGAACAGGTAGACTCCGAGCTGGAGGGATGGCAGAAGGCCTGGCTTGCTCCACCATAGGAGAGGTGCAGTGGAACTCTAGCTGGGGGGGGGGGGGGGGGGTAGGTGCGGGGAGGCGGGGGAGTGGGGTGTGGACTTTCTTAGCTCTGGCCCTGGAGACGAAGTCTGGGCTTCGTTATTTACTTCTGCGTTGGAACTGAGCTGTTTGTGGAGCTTTATTTTCCCCCAAGAGGAAGAAGCAGATTGAGACTTACTGAGCTGCTTTTGTCTTTTGCGGTGGTATTTCATAGTTGTAGCAAAGCTCCAAAGATACTTTGCATCAGCTCAGAGAAAGGGAGCCGTGGACGAAGACCCAGTGGTTTGACAAACCCTGCCAGTGCTCGCCCGTGGAGGGGGTACGCATTCAGCCAGCAGCGCAGAGCTCACCCATGTGGGGGTACGCACTCAGCCAGCAGCCCAGAGTTTGGAGTTGGCTTCCCGGTTGTGAGTCGCTTCTGAGGATGCAGACCTCAGATACTGTCGCTTCCTCGGGGGCTCCTAGCGCCCACCCAAGATGTTTACTGGGTTGTGCTCAGGACTGTGATTCCTGGTAGAGTGCCACGAGCTCATTCTCAGCCCACGGCCCTGCGGCCGTTTCATCTGTTCTCCCGCTCTGAGGTTCCGTGGCCCCTTTTGTTTGGGAGGCCCTGGCTATGTGTGATGACATAATTCACAGTTCCCCAAGCCCTATCGGTGCACGCTGTGCCATGTCTGGGCCTCATGGCAGGGATCCATTGGCTTGGCTGTCACCATCCTCACGGTAGAGTCCCCCAGCAGCTGGGGCCATGCAGCCCAGCCTTAGCGGATGAAGTCAAACGCTCCATCCACAAACATTGTGCTCCCGGTGAAACCTGGCTCGCGCTGATTTCCAGCTGCTGCTACTCAATTGATTGCAACTGGAATCCATCTAGTGTCAGTGGCTGTGACCCCTCATGGACCATAATGCTTGACTAAATTGCAAATTCAGGAGGCAGTTCAAACCCTTGGGCAATGTCGGTACATATCCCCCTTCACGCTTACCCCCACCTTGGGGATCCACTGTCCGAGCTGGTGGCAGACTCCTCACGGTCTGTCCCTGTTTTGTTTACTTTGATCACCTGCTTTCTTTTCTGTCGTGCATCAGAGAGAGCAGTAGGGCAATACAGCTCAGGCATGGAGACAGCCCGTGCCTGCCGAGACAGCTGTCTGTGGGTCCCCGGAGGCAGAGCAGCCCGCTGCCCCAAGGCATGCACCTGCATCTTCCTAGTGGGGGTCGCTGGAGGAGCTTCTGGACTCTAACCCAGCTTTCCGTTCCCCAGCCCCAGTCCCTCCGACTCACACACAAAGACGGTGTTTGGTAGCTGGGGCCCTGCGTGCTCCTGGGTTCTGCACTTTCCTGAGCTTTTTGTGGGAAAGCCACAAGGTACCCGGAGCATGACCCTGGGTTACAATGAGGTAGGTAAACACAGAACCCTGACAGGACTGCAAACAGCCGAGCCTTCCAGAGCCCAGGGGCTCCTCTCTGGGGTTATGTAAGAGTCATCTGTTTTAAATACGTAGTTGCCAAGTTTTCTTCAAAGGGTTACAAGTCAGTAGAGACCAAATTGAAGTAAAGATTAGCTTGGAAAGCCAAATATATCCTTGATCTAGATTTTACGTTTGAAGTCTGGCTTGAGAGGGTTTCTCCTGCCTGATGCCAGTCAGACACAAGGAGACAGGAGCAGGGGCTTTCTGGGGCTAGAGCAGCAAACATGGTGGGGCGACTCCATTCTTTCTTCCTCTGAGACCCCGTCTAGGAATTCAAAGGGGCTGGTGAGTCATGAGGCCTCGGCGTGGGGAGCGGTGGTGGTTACATAATTCAGATTAACTCTCAGTTAATCTGCCTTGAATAGAGAGTTGCTGGATGGTGTACATGCCAGACCTCCAGGGGCCCTCAGGGGTGTCCCGAAGTACATCCACCTGGCAGCTGGGATAAGATCAGGCACCAGGAGGAGAGTGGGAGACTAGCTGCTCCTGGGTCAATCCCACAAGGTAACTTACTATATGATGAATTCATAGCATTGAAATTGATGCAGGAGGTGGGACTCGACTCTGGAGGTAGGGCTCAGACTCTGGACCAAATTGAGGACTAGCAAAAATGGGGACAGGGTGGCAACACCTTTCTGTAAGACATGCCCACCAGGGTGCCATGTCAGTTTACCATTGCCTGGGCAGCACCCGGGAGTTACTGTCCTTTCCATGGCGATGATCCAGACTTACTACCCATTCCCTAGAAATGTCTTCATAAACCACCCCTTAATCTGCATGGAATTAAAAGTAGGTGTAAATACGACTGCAAAACTGCCCTGACCTGCTGCTCTCAGCGCACTGCCTGTGGGGTACCCCTGCTCTGCAGGGGCAGTCACCGAGCTGTCACATTGCTGGACCAGTAACACCACAAGAGCTGTAACACCTCCTCAGTAAAGCTGATTTCTTCCACCACTGGCTTGCCCTTGAATTCTTTTCTGGGCAAAGCCAAGAGCCCTCATGGTCTAAGCCCCACTTTGGGGCTTGCCTGCCTGGTATCAAAATGACAACATTATACCTGTGCATGGTACTCACACTAATACTCTAGGTTAGTAGTAGGGGTCAAAGAAGGGGTAAAGAGCAGAAGGGACAAGGACGTGTTTACGAAAGGACAACATCAGGCGTCCTTGTTGTGATGGAAATGTTCTCTATCTTGACAATATCTCTGTCAATATCCTGTGACATTATTGCACTGTCATTTTGCAACTGTTACCCCCAAATTGGGGGAACCTGGGTGAGGGGTACACAGGATGTCTATGTATTATGTCTTACAAAGCCTGTGATTTC